TCAAAATTAGGTTTTTTTTATTAGAATGACTGATTTTTGACTTTTGACTTAATACGTGACTTATTGGTTTGAGAAATGATTTCAAGGATTCAATTACATCATTTTTACCTAATTGTATGATTCAATTCACCCCTCAAGATCAAACAACTGATAGATGAAATTTGGTCAACTGTTGAAAAACCAACTGATACACCAAAAGTCAAACTTTGATTTTTTGGGTAAAAATTGAGTTTCAAAGATCACAACTCATCAATAGATTAAAAAATATGAAGCTTTATCATCAAGAAATCAAGAAAGTCAAAATTCAATTTAAAAAGTTAAACTTTTCAAGACTTGTAAATTTTTCTAAGTGTTTTAGTACATGATAATTTCACTACTTCATGCCCATTTTTTCACCAAGATGCAGGATGATTCAAAGAAAACTTTCAACATGAAAGTTGTAGATCTTGATGAAATATACAACTTTGTATTTTAGGGCTCATATCCAAAAAAAAATTAGATTTTAAGTTATAGGCCCATAAAGTTATGCACTTTTTCTTAAACACTTGGTGAAATTTTGACCTAGTTTAGACAAATTTTTGTCCTAACTTCTTGGCCAGTTTTCACCAATCTCCAAGATGATTCTATCAAAATGGTCAACATGAAGGTTGTATAAAATGTTTCAAGATTTCTAAAATTTCCAAGAACTTGAAGAGATCATGCTTGAGCAAAGAGAATCGAAGAGAAGAAGTTGAGGTTTCATTCTTGATTTTGAGGTTATTTTGATGATAAACATTCAACCAAATCTCAAACCTATGCTGCATAATATCACTTCACAGGCTTCTAACTTGCATTTCACTCCATAATTAAATGTTTACACAATTGTTAGAGCTTTGATCAAAACATTTAAACCATTATCCAAGTGATTAATCCAGTTTAGGAAGAAAGGTACCACTTCCATTTTGGAAAAGGAAGCTTTATTGCAAAAAGTCAATGCATTGAGCCTCTAACTTGTTTCTTCTGCACAAGCTTCATTTATAAAGTCAGAACAAGCATGCTTAAAGCCCTCAAATACTCTACAAACCTTTGTACTATGCATTGGGACAATATGTATCAAGCTTGATTCAAAAACAAGCCAAAGCGCCATAACATGTGATCTTGTTTTTCTTATCATTCCAAGTTTCCAAACTCTCTCCTATAAATTAAGCCATCGACAAGCCAAGGACACGATTTAGCAAGCCTAAAAAATCCCTCAAACTCCCTCAAACTCAGAATTGCTCTCAAACCTTACTTTTGTGCTATTTCTGATTTTTGATAGCCATCTCACAAATCTCTCGTGCGTTTTCCATTCTTTTCATTCACCAAGCTTCTATAACACATATATAAGCCATCTCAATACCCGTTACACTTCTGTAACTCCATCTTCATCATCCTCCATTTTCAAAAACAGAAGCTTGCATCTTGACTTCTCCAGCACGATTCAACCACTCTCAATCCAAAGTAACTATTGGAATAGCTTCCTGGAAGTTCAAGGAAGCTAAGCAGATCATTACAACACCTTGAAGTGAGATCTAACTCAAAACACGATATCCACTCACAAGGTAAGTTTTCTGAAGTTTCAAATCTTCATACAAGCATCATTTGATTCTGATTTGTGAAGATAAAATGTAGATATCATAGCCCTGAAACTGACCATGTCCTTAGAATTCATTTATATTGCCTGAGTAGTGTGAATTTTAGTTTTGAACTTTCTGAAATATTTAGGTCAAAATTTGGTACCAATAAAATTCGTGTTCATCTTTGAGAGTTAGATTAATTTTTTTACATATTTGGGATCATGGTGAAATTTCTAACAAGTTTGATGTTTACACTTTTGAGAATGGTTGAGAAATGAGCAAGATACAAAATTTGAAAATCTTGTCAATGGATGCTGGCGCGAGGAAGAATAAGACAATGTGTTCAGGACTTGTTTTAAAATATAATATGTTGGTTGTGTATAAATGAACGGATGTATAGCCACCCCAGTGGTAGAGAGCGCGCACGTAAGGCATACCTATAGAAGGTCCTGGGTTCGAACCCCAACGAGATCTTTTGTCATTTTTACAAAATTTTCCTTGTTTCTTTTTGTTCAAAAACGCGCCCGGGCCATCTGGATATTGGGCCTTTCTTTTTTTCTTTCTCTCACCCTCCATTTCATTTTTACCACGCAACCCAACATTTTATTTTATTTTGGTTTTATTTCTGGTTACAAAAAGGTTGTTTGGGCCCAAAACAAAAACCTTTTTACTATCAAACCCCCCTCACTACTTTTCAAACCCCCTGACCCTTAATTTATATTTTATTTTTATTTTATTTTATTTTATTTTAAATAATATTATTATTCTTTTTTTATTATTTAAATTAAAAAATACAAAAATATATTTTTTATTAAATACTCAGACTAAAATTGTTATTTTTTATTTTAACTTTAGTTTTATTTCCTTTAAATAAAAAGACCAAAAAAATATTTTCTTAATAAATTAATTTCTTTTCTTAATTTATTTAGACTTAGTTTTTAACTTTCTCTTAATTAAATTTAGACATTAGAATTATTATTAATTTCTTTTCAATTTGATTAATTAGGTTAAAACATTTTTCATACAAAAAACATAAAAAAACATTTTTCTTTTACATTATCTTTATATTCGTGTACATTTTATTTGACATTATTCAATATGGTTGTAATAGTAATTAGGTTTTAATTGTTTTCATCCCCATTTGTAATTTGTATCTCCATCCCTTAAAATGATGTAATAGCGTAAGACTTTTAAATTTCTGCAATTTACCGCTTTCCATATTATTTCTAGTAATTAGGGTTTGTATGACAAGACATAAAATCAACAAGTAGACAACCCTAATTCAAGACAAATGCATGAAATAAAAACACTTTGCACACTTGCACCTCTGGGGTTAATCCACACTTGTTGCCTTAGAATAAAACAATCATGTCCCTCGAACGTGGAATACTTTAGCAAAGATCCTCGATTACAAGATCGTCGTCCCTCGACGACCCTCCGATGTTGCCTTCGGTAAACAATCTTAGACTCTTACGACAAATTTCTAAGGTATCCTACAAAGTTGCCTTCTATGACTGTACAATGACCCACGCATGTCCCTTCACATTCAATGATAGGGTTTCTTACCAATTAATGGTAAGATAACACTATCTATAGGAGAAGGAAAAGAACAAAGACTCCTTGAATAGGTAGAACGGTCGTAGTTGCTTGCTCACAAACTAAAACCATCTTCACACTCACACTTTCAAAACATCTTTCCAAAAACAAATATATCTTTGAACTATTTTCAAAACCAACACTTTGTATACATTCTCTCCAAAACGAGAATCATTACAAAGTTTGACGAAACAAAGGCGTTTTCAAAATATTTTCAAACTTACACCAAACACAAACACATTTACAAAGCATTTCAAATTGAGCTAGCAACTAAGAGCCCGTAGATAACTCCAGATGAAAAGGGTGCTAACACCTTCCCTTTTCATAACCTACCCCCCAAATATCTCTTCGGTGGCAGCTCTTACTATCCGCAACAATTGCGATAAAACATGAAACACCCAAGTGAGTTCTCCCACCGTATTACAATATGCTTAGCATTTTTATACATTTGCCAAGAAAAAGAAGTTTTAGTTTTAAATGTAATTATGTAAAAATGGGAAGAAAATATCTAAAGGAGACTAACCTATCTCTAACCTAGTGTTATCATGCAACAATGGCCCTATGTCAAGAATGAAAAGGAAAATCTCTACCCAGTGTCATCATGCATGGATACCTATCCTAATGTCTAACTCAAAAGCTATCCTAATCACACAACCCTAAGGGAACATGCAAAGATCGAAGTCGTTATCTCAATTCTAATTGAGTGACATCATCGATTATCAACAAATGAAAGAAAATCCTATGGGGAGCATGCAAAAGATCGAAGTTGTTATCTCAATTCTAATTGAGTGACATCATAGATCATAAACAAAGGAAAGTAAAAAACCTATGGGGAACATGCGAAAGATTGAAGTCGTTATCTCAATTCTAATCGAATGACATCATCGATCGTCAATAAAGAAAAGTAAAAACCCTATGGGGAGCATGCAAAAGATCGAAGTCGTTATCTCATTTCTAATTGAGTTGCATCATCAATCGTCAACCCATGAAAATAAGCACAAACACAATTAGCAAACAAGTGCGAAATGCCCGCTACAGGTCTTTAAACAGCGACTTCGAGTGCACGCTCTTTATTTCCTACTTCTCATGATATACATAAGGCAATAAAATACGGAAAGATAAATTGGAAGGAGTATAATACCAAACGAACAATAATGTCCTCAAAAAGCGCAACCAAAGCAAAGAAACCCATAATACTTCGCGCGGGCTGACATCAACAAACAAACGGTCAGAGATCGAATACTCGAAAATAGTGTCAGAGCATCATCGATGTGAAAATAAATCATAATTGGAAACTCAAGTACATTTGCATATCACACACTAAACATGCATAAAACTTAAATCTCGACAAGCAGAAGTGAATCACAAGTCTCAAGTAATCGAAATATCATGAATTAATTCCTAAAAATAAAATAAAAAGATCTAACAAATTTTATTGATTTTGTAGTTTTTTATTATAAAGAAAATTTAGAGAGTCCTAAATTCTACATATTTTTTATTATTTTTATCATGTATTCTATTATTATTTTTATTATTAAAAAAGAAAATTAAACTAAAAAAAATCACTTTTTGTACAAGCCTCAACAATAGTCTAAAGAAAGTTGTGATGGGCCTAAGTGAGTGTGATTCGGTCCATTAGGTTTTGTGATAAAAAAAACCATATGTTTTCACCAAGTCCAAATCTAATCCTCCTATTTTCAGTTTTCTTTATAACAATATTATTCAACTTTGTTTATTTAAAAAAAAAAAAGAATTAAAAGAAAAAACAAATTAAGAGAAAAAATCAAAAGAGGAATTAGGATGAAACTTATGACTCTTCACATTCACGTGAAAGAGCTTCTTCTCCAACGATTCCACTCAGCAGCCGCTATCACCTCTCAAACCAAATCGACGGAAAACTCAACGGCCTCATCTCCGCTATCTCACATTCTCAATCTCCGTCTGTTCTTGATTCCGCCTTCTTCAACTACTTCAATCTCCTCCGATTCGGATTTCGATTCAAAAGTTTATCTTGGCTTTGGTCTCAATGTTCGAATGACTGATGATGATTCTTTTACTTGACTGCTGTATTCTTATGATGGGCTGTTAGAATGTGATGCTACTGACTTCCTTGTTGATTGCAGGGCTGTAATAATCAGCTTTTGATGGAGCAATGGTTTTGAAGCAAGGTTGTGATTATGGCCTGAGTTATTGAAGTTCAACTTGGTTGAAAGGATGAAGCAAAGTGAAGATGAAATAGCATGAAATTGATGAAGAATAGAATAGATTTATATGAATTCGGTTTTTTGGTGTAACTTTGTAATGAATTCTGAATTTATCTTTCAATCAATGAAGTAATTCCAAGGAAAAGCAACTTGACTTTTCTTTTAATTTGAATCTCAAATTTTACTTCAATTCTTTCAATTTAGACATCCAATTTTCCTTTATCTTGCAATCTTGAATCAAATTTTGATTTTGTAATGCCTAGTCTTTTTCTTCTATTCTCATCTTGAATAAATCTTGTTCTTTACAAAGAAATTTCACCCATCTCAAGTAATATTCTCTAATTACTTCTCTTTTTTTTTTTTGCTTTGGCATGATGACATGATCAGTTAAGAGAACTGGAGGGACTTTTGAAACATGACATGCTAACTTTTCACGAATCAAGATACGAGTTCCAAATTTCTAGCAAACCAAATTCACAAATTTTCTAATTTTGCAATCTTAATCTTGAAATGATACTTGAATGAAACATGATAAAGGCCTTCGTAATTCGAATTCTCGATTAACCACTTGACCAGATTTTGAACTCAAATTATACTTTGAATTTGTCACTTGTAAATTTTATTCCAACCAAACCATATGCATGAATTCCATTGAATCGATCTTGAAAGAAACATTTCACAATAATGAATTCATTCTCTACTTCACTCTTCAAATTCAAGTCAACTTGCAAACAATCAAGAAGTTGAAGAGATAACAAGGCCTTGATTACAACGAATCCTTAAACTCTTACTATGTTGTAATGCTAAAAACCCAAAGCCACACTTAATCATTTAGCAAGTCTCACCATAAGAAGAGAACCATGACTCGATCTTTTAGACTTCTTGAAAAGAAATGACTCATAGAGCATGTAATAAAGTGAAGCTCTACACGATGATGGTAAAATCACAATAAGGAAGAGACGATGATCCTTGTAGCCTTAAGGAGAAAAGCCTAACACGACGAACTCATGTTGAAGATCTAATACCAAACTCCAAATAAGATAGGAGAAACCCTAATTCTCGACCTGAGTGCACATTAATGAAGAAGGATTGAGATAGTGAGAGGAACAGAACCCCGACTTCAGAACATTCTCAATGAAGACATGATAAAATCTTGAGCACATTGTAAACCCTAAAGCACTTTTCCCGAAGAAATTCTGATGAAGACAACCTTATATCTCGAGGAACCCTGCTAGCGAAGGCGTCTATGATGTTTGAGATCCAAAACCCTAATCTCATACTAAGAATTATAAGAGCACCAGTTGAATCAACTTTGAGTAAGGTAGCGACCTCAATTCATAGAGAAAACCATAATGCCAAGAGTCCTTTGATCCCGTAACTATGGAACCGGTGATATGCATGTGATGTATATGATGTAACGAGGGATCTTAGGGGGAAAATTGGGGTATAACACTACTCTGTTGGCCGATACTTACCATGCTATTCATTCAAGACATTGAAAGAAAGGATTCATGGTTTACTATGTACCAATGCTCTACAAGTGGTTCATGGAACGATTACCTACAAAGGGACTGTTTGGGAATAGAGGGGACACTTGCAAGTGGGAATCAAGACTAATGGCACTCACTTCTTTTGATATACAGTGGTATAGACTCAGAGTTGACAGTTCAGAGGTGATTACCAATTGTAGAGGATTCTCTAATTTTCTACTCATAGGAACAAAAGGGATAATTAGCTACAATCTTGTTCTTGTCTTGCGTCAATTGGGTTATGATATGAGACTCCTACCTATAGCGAAGGAAGTAGAGTCTGTGTATAGCAAGAAAGGAGAAGATCCTGAGTTGCTAAAGAAGTTAGAAATTTCATGGGGCAATGTTAGCAGGAAAGGGAAAGTGTTCTTTGGGGGAAAAAGAGATAATAGCTTATGGTCCTTACATGGATTGGGTTAAGGGTAGGGTGAAAACTCTTATGTTTCCTTTTGAAAAAGAGGATCCTTCATATCCTTAACCTGTTGAGCTACAAAATGATGTACCTAAAGAACATTTTTATCAAGTGCAAATGGAAAATCAGGAACTCCGCAGGGATAATGAGGCCAAAGTGATGGAGCTATATTTCCTGAGAGAAGAAAAGAAAGAGTTGGCTCGCAATCTAAAAGGGTATGAAGGAACAAGTGCTTCTAGAGTCAGAAAGGCCATGAGAAGACCTGGAGTAGAAGATGCTTTTGCTTCTACAAAAGACTACCAAAAAGACCTTAAAAATGCTGAGAAGAAATGCCATGAATGTGTAAAGCTTCAGGTGTCCGGCAACAAGTACAAAGGAAAAGTTAAAGAGCTAGAAAAGCAACTCAAAAGTACCAGATTGGACAGAGACACAAAGGAAGCTTAGACAACATGAGTAATGGAAGAAAATGCAAGACTTTGAGCCCAGTTGGAAGAGATGGATAATGCACCTGTACCCATCCCACTGCCATAGTGCAATGAATGTGAAAGGTTGCCAGAACAATGTTAGTATCTTGAGAATCATCTATACAAGAAAGATGTGGTGATTTAAAGCTTTGTCAAAGGACGTGATCGAGAGAAGACAAAGCAGTTGTTCAAAGAGACCAAAGATTGGAGCACAAACTACTTCGGACAGAGAAGACCTTTGTATTATGCAGAGATGGGGGATCCACCTCTTTGATTTGTTTCTATATTTTCTTTTATATGATCACCACCAGACTTGTTGGTTGGGATATTTATCTTTTATGATGCTTTATGGTTTTCTTTTGTATGAACTCGTTTGGTCCAAAGTTTCATTGTATGAATAAAAAGGCGGTTGTTGTCACTATATCTCCTCTTGATTATCATCTGTCTCTTTTATCATGTTGCTTGTTATTCTTGATGGTTGACAAGATTCTTGAATACCCTGAAGATGACAAAACATTGCATGCATACCCATACACTCATAACACGTCATTCATAACAGGTTAGCAAGATTGGTATTCTTACTTCTGATCTGGTTTTTCTTATTCAGAGATTGCAACTTCAAACTCTCACTGGTACAACACCAAGGGTAATTCGAAGAGACAAATGGAATAAATACAAGCTAATGTGTCAAGATGAACACTTATGTTGAATAGTTGATGGAGATCATCCAGGATATGGCTCTAAAACAGGAAGATCTAAAGGCTCTGATTGTGGGACCTGCTGCAATTACAGATGAAGGGAATGGAACTCTGAATCCTCCTCTAGGAGATGTTGGAAATCTCGTGGGGGTTACTGTTAATAATCTTCATGGTAATTCGGGTGGTCAAAATTTGAATGGTAATGTTGTCGTTAACCTTGGTAATCATGCTGGTAATAATCAAGGTACCCCCGTGATTCAAGTTGTGGGAAATGTTCCTCCACCCACTCCTTCTCGTCAGAATAATGAATAACCTTTTTGTTTAGGCACAAATCGGGAGAGTTATTCTGATACCGGTTCAACCGCTTGAAGAGGATAACTATGGTGACTAGTTTTCTAATCATGAACAACCCACTGAAGTTGATAGGAAGTTGTGTATGATCGAGGAGCATATGCGGGATTTTTAAAATCACGGGGCTATGGGTCTTGATATGTCTGATTTGGGATTAGTTTCCAGAGTGAAGATTCCTCCAAAATTCAAAGTGCCAGATTTTCAAAGACATTTCTTGTCCTAAGACGCATGTTAAGTCTTACTATAGGAAAATGCCAGCATACTCTAGTGATGAGAAGCTACTCATGAACTTTTTCCAAGACAGATTGGCTGGTGGTCCGTTGGACTGGTATATCCAACTAGAAATTTCTCGTATTCACACTTGGAGAGAGCTAGTTGAAGCTTTTGTTCTGCATTATCAATATAATAGTGACATGGCACCTACCCGAACTCAACTGTAAAATTTGTCACAAGTGCAGAAAGAGTTGTTTAATGAGTATGCACAAAGGTGGAGCGAGATGGAAGCTCGAGTGCAGCCTCCTATGATGGGAAGAGAAATGGTGGATATGTTTACGAGCACGCTACAGGGGCATTTTTATACTATTTGTAGCACTTATGAATCTTTTGCTGAGATGGTGACTTATGGTGAAAGAATTGAAGTCGGATTTAAGATATGGAAGATTCAGGATGTTATGTCTAGCAATAATGCTGGTAATGCTAAGAAATCTTTCAGTGGCTTCCAAAATAAAAAATGAAGGTGAAGCCAGTGTGATGTATTCCAGAAAGGGAAAAGGCAGGGATTATCAGGAGCCAGGTCATCAGGTTGTCATTGTAACTATTCCAATTGCAGCACCTCAATGACAAGCCTATGTATCTTGTTAGGGTAATCAACAACAGAAGTCGATACAACCTCCAAGAAAGTTTGATGAAATTCCCATGTCTTATACAAAACAACTACCATGTCTACTCGAGCTGAAATTGGTTGAGAAACTCACTTCTAATATTAACCCTGAAAGGTCGCCACCAAACTTTGATGCTAACGCCCAATGTGAATTCCACTCTGAAGCTCAGGGCCATAACATTTAAAATTTATTTACTTTTAAGAACAAGGTACAATATTTACTTGATTCCCAAGATATCAACTTTGGGCCAATGTCGGCCCCAAATATTCTCTAGCAACCTTTGCCACCACATGGAGGCGCCACTGTTAATGCCATTGTTAAAGATGGAGGCCTGAATTTGGTGATGGATGTGAACCTTTTAACAACTCCTTTATCTTTTATGAAGGAACAATTGTTGAAGAAAGGTGTGTTTTCGGGTTGTGCTACCAATTTTGAAGAATTTTTTACCCATATAGAGGGTTGTGATTGCTTGAAAAGTGAGATTCAAAGGTTGATTATTGAAGGATCCCTACAGTTTGACAAATTGGTTGTTGAAACCCAGGATGAAGATAATGAAGTTGATGTGATCGCCATTCCCTGTTGTTGTACCTAAAAAATTTCCCTCTCTGTTATTCAAGACATTC